ATTCCCTCTTTTCTCCTTCTTCTGATGTCCATCCTCTTTGCCTTTCTGGATAGGGATTGAGCATTTTAGCAAGAGTCCTTCCTCTTGATTAGTTTCTTTAGGTGTACAGATTTTAGTAGGTTTATCCTATATTATATGTCTATATGAGTGAGTATATACCGTGTGCATCTTTCTGCTTCTGGGATAGCTCACTCAGGACGATCTTTTCCAGATCCCACCATTTACCTGAAGATTTCATGATTTCCTTGTTTTTTATTGCTGAGTATATATAAAGAACTCAAGAAGTTAAACAGCAACAAATCAAGTAATCCAAATAAAAAATGGAGTACAGAGCTAAACAGAGGACTATTGAATGGCAGAGAAATACTTAAAGAAATGTTCAATGTCCTTTGTCATAAGGGAAATTCAAATCAAAACGACCCTAAGATTTCCCCTTATACCCATCAGAATGGCTAAGATCAAAAACTTAAGTGACAACACATGTGGAGAGGTTGTGGAGAAAGGGGAACCCTCCTCCACTGCTGGTGGGAATGTAAACTTTACAACCACTCTGGAAATCAATCTGGCGCTTTCTCAGACAACTAAGAATAGCGCTTCCTCAAGATCCAGCTATACCACTCCTAGCCATATATCCAAAAGAGGCTCAAGTACACAGTAAGGACATTAGCTCAACCATGTTTGTAGCAGCTTTATTTGTAATAGCCAGAAGCTGGAAACAGCCTAGATGCCCCTCGGTGGAGAAATGGATACAGAAATTGTGGTACATCTTCACAATGGAATATTACTCAGCAATGTAAATATTTCTTAACCCTAAGCCACTCATTTGTTTAAAAAATTTGTTCATAAGTATAAAATGTGGAGAATTACATTTCATGCTGTAACTATCATGCAGCATCCAAAAGAACAATCATCTTCAAAGAATGTCCTTATGAATACCCCATCGCCTAAATATACCTTATTTTCCACAAATTGCAATTATAAGCTGTTTAAATCACCGATGTCATTTTAAATTTATACCTTTTGACTAAACAATGGATGAACAACCTCTTCCATCCGAGTTTGCTTGCCATTGCACTTTGTCCTGTTGGGGAGGACCTGGAGCTGGGCTCTGGCTGCAAGTCAGTGTTGGGTGGGGGAGTGGGGCAGGCTGGAATTAGGTGACCGTACTGTTGTCATCTCCAGGTACCTCCAGCACTGTTTTCTTAAACTTCATGAAATAGACTGTCTTCCCTGTTTCCTGGGCAAGAAAAGTAAGGTTGGGGAAGGTGGATAAGTTGCTCAAGATTTTTTGGGTAACAAATAGAGTCCGTGCTGTGTTGGTTTTATAGAGAGCACCTTCAGGATCACTGCATGACCACAGGGGTCAGCGGAGGGTAACTGAGTAGAAAGGGAGACAGCTGAGGAAATGGGCTGGAGCTCATCTCGGTACAAAGACCTGTTGTGCACTATGTGACTGCAGCGTTGAAATTCAGATCTGTGGACTGTGGGTTTGTGGGAGCCCTACTTCAAGGAGTTAGAGTTTCATTGTCTGTCAGACCCTCTAGAACATGTGGTTTGACAGAAGAGGTACCACACAGATGTCCCGAAGCATCAAGCCCGAAGGGCACAACCGAAGAAGTGATGGCACAACCATGTATCCCCATGAGTTATTTATTTAAATGCCATCTGTGTCCAGTGCAGGCTACTGGAGCAGCTGTAGTGAAGGGCATGTGTATTTGGTGTCCTCATAGACTTTATAGTGTAGCAGGAAGAAGAAATTAGCCAATAATTCCAATGCAGCCTTTTGCTGGAGTTCACAGGTGCTTGCAAGAGGCAGCTCATTGCATGGCAAGTCTGTAATGAAAGACACATGCTGGCTTGTGGGTTAGGCACGTGGAGATGAGTGTGGTCAGTAATGTCTGCTTATAGATTCTCTGGGGCAAAAAATCGGATGGAGCTAAGATGGCCCCTTGATCCATAGGTAGGAGATGCATAGGTGAGATCAGAAACTTCATCTTCACCTTAGGGCTGCACGCAGGGGCACTGTGAAGTCAAATCTGCATTCTGCATAGCTTAATAGTCTTGTGTATAATGGACTAGAGATAAACGAGGATAGGTAATGGAGAGATGGTTAGATGATGGCAGTCATTGAAGTCTGACCTGTCTCCTAAGTCATATCTAGGCCCCTCGAGGATCCAAAAAAGATAAGTTCCAGAAAGCAATATTTGGTGAGGGCTAATGCTTCTTGGAGCCACATGCTATGAGTGCTGAAAACGTGTCTGCTCAGCTACTGAGTGTTTCAGTGGACAGACTGAATGGCAGCAATCGCAGTTTATGCCAGGAAACTAGGGTAGTGGCAATAAAGGTGGAGGGCAGAGAATATCTGAGGAATATCTGGAGGGTGGAGATGATGAATGGGAACAAGGTGCCAACTTCTCTGGCTTGATGGACGTTGGGCATTTTCTCTAAGAAAATAGAAACTGGAGACAGAGAGCAGATGGGTAGTGAGGGTGCTTTGAGCTACCCAAGAGGTGAGGCCAGAGAAGCCATTTGATGGTGTTCAGCTTGCCATGGAGTCCAGTGCTCATGGGGTTCTTTGGCTGTATCTAGCTGGTAATTGGAGCTAGACTATGAATCCTCTATTGAGGGGTCAGTGGGGTCAAGAGTAGGTTCTGTGTCTGAGAGCACACTCCTACTGCCTTGTGAGAAAAGGACTGAGTGATGGGGAGGCTGAGAACAGAAAAGGGAGCCCTGCACGCCCAGGGGTGGCGTTGGAGAAAGACCGATTGCTAAGACATGGTAGAAGGCGGGGCTTGGAAGTACTTCTAAGAAGTGATGCTTTTCCCTGCTCTTCTCATGGGGGTCGTTTCCAGGCACTGATGGGAGTGGGTTGAGGAGAGGAAATCCGTTGTCAATTACTGAAGACATCTGACAGAGGTAGAAGCAGGGCAAAGGGCACCTAGCTCAAGAAAGAGCTGGCTTCTCGCATGAGGTCTGTAGTTTAAATGCTAACTGCCTTCTGACATGACTGCACTCTAATACCAAGAGTGTTCTCTAAAAGATAGTCAATACTCAAAATCAGTCTTTATTAATGTATAAATGGATAGATTTATTACCATTGAGGCAGACTAGAAGATTTGGTTTTGGTGTACCAGATATGGAAAGCAGTTTAGAAGGTCTGTTGACTGAGGAAATTGCTTGCTGCTAGGTGTGGGGGAGGGCCATAGGGACACAGGCCTTTGCATCTAAGCACAGAAACTCCAGACCCTGTGTCAATAGATGGCAGCAGGGCCCTGGGCCCTGGGTGCAAGTTACCATGGTAAATTAATGGTCCTCTCAGCTAGTTCCTGCTAAGAGGGAAGCAGCAGGGATGTTTGTCCCTAGGTTACAGCCTGAGGACCAATCCTCATGCAAACAGAGACTGTCTAGTAAGACCCCGGATCCTGTAATTAGCAGGGTAGAGCTCACGCAGACAGGAAGACCAGAAAAGGAGAATCAGTGTCAATTAGCGAGCGGGGGAGGAGCTTTGTGAGGGAAAGAGCATGTGAAATTACCATCTCCCATGGCTACCGGGTGGGCTAAAATGTGAACCCAGGCTGTTTGTTTCACAGCATTTAGCCAAGCTCCTCCCATCCCTGGCTCTACAGTATACATTATTAGTGAGTAAGCCCAGAAGCTAAAACGTTTATAAGTGAAATAAGGCAAGACCCAAAGTACATTTTCTGTTTTTATTGTTATACAGTGCTACATGATCTTTTTTCTGTTTATTCATAGTCTATGAACATCCAGAAAATGATGGGATAGAGATTTCTGGTGAGATTTTGTTTTGTTTTATGTTAACTTTGTTTTCACCTGCAAAACTGTGGAGCAAAGAGATAGAAGAAATGGAAGAGATTTTTCAAGCCACTCAGAAAGTAACTAGCAATTGTCAAACATGATGTCTACAGTGAGACTAGTTCTAGGAGGGCCAACATTTATCAAAATCTGAAGATGCTCTAGGCCCTGGTATAAAACAGCACGGCATCTTTAACTTGTAATGATCTATAAATTTTATATATTATGGAATATTTATTTTGTATCAACAGAAGTGAGATTAAACTTTTGAGTTCAATTTAGAATTAAAGTTGATTTTATAGTATAAGTACTCAGAAGTCTCCCATAAGACGACCCAGCCTAGACAAAGCTTTCTGAGTGGATTTTGGCCACTTTATGGCTCTAAGTCAGTGGTTCACAGCCTATGGGTCGCGACCCATTTGTGGTATCGAATGGCCCTTTCCCAGGGGTTGGTTAAACCATTGGAAAACATAGACACCCATATTGCAATCCATAACAATAGCAAAATTATGGTTATAAAGTGGCAAAGAAAGTAATTTTCTGGTTGGGGTCAGCACGACATGAGGAACTATTCAAGGGTCACGGCATTAGGAAGATTGGGAGCCAATGCTTTGTTTATTTATTTTTCAGATAACGCTGTAGAGGATTCCAGCATAATTTCAGAAGGTATGTTTGTTGTTGTTTCCAGATAGGGTGTTTCTGTGTAGCCTTGGCTGTCCTGGACTCACTTTGAAGACCAGGTTGGCCTTGAACTCACAGAGATCCACCTGTCTCTGCTTCCTGAATGTTGCCACCATGCCCACGGGTAAGTTATTTTTAGCGACAACACCACCAAATCACACTGCACAACAACCCTCACATAAGAGATATTTTAGGAGAGACGCAAGAGGGTGGCTGCTTGTGTTCTGGCCAGGAGCATCAAAGAACTGGGCAGGAGGCTGACTTTATATAGGGTTTCTGAGGCATGGGGGGTTTTCCAGGGCGGAGACTTCCAGATGAGGATTGGTGGGATTTCAAGGCATGCCCAGGGATTGGTGGGATTTTGAGTTTAGGGCTTGGAGGGATTTGGTGAGTTTCGGAGATTCGGAAGTACGCTCGGATCTTTTCGCCTACATGGCGCAAAGCACCCAAAACATACAAATAAAATAGATTCATCTTGAAGATTTTTTTTCCCCCAAAACCACTCTACTGAGCATGCTGTTTGATTTCAACATTCTTCTGCAGTTTAATTTTTTTAAATGTTATTCAGTATTATAACTATGAGGCAAGACTTTTTCAAGCCGAAGTAGGTAGAGTGTGATTCGGCGGTGGTAGAGGAAGTGCAGGCACACACCTGAGGTCCTGATCCTGTCTACTGCCCCAAAGAGAGAACAGCGAAACTGTCCAGTGAATGTGTCCCTATAGAAGAAACAAGGTGCTCAGCTGGTCTTTTCTCCACTGATTATCGAGTCTAATGCAAAACCATAGATAAAACCTAGGTCATAGTGCCCATCCCCTAGCTGTTAGGCAGCCCATATCCTAAAGCCTGTTCTACAGATGTTTCATGACTATACAGCTGTGTTCAACTGTAGCAAGTTGTCTTTTGTTGTCATGATATAAAACCCTAACGCCGTTATGACAATCATAGGTAAATTGTCTAGAATGGATTATTAGCACAGCCATGATCTGCCGCATGTAATGGATTGTTGCTTTGTTTAATTTTAGAAATAAGTATCCCCTCCATGGAAGAACAGCAAGACACACCACCAGGTATGACACTTCCTTAGATCTAGTGTGTTTTGCTTTTTTTGTTTAAATTTAAAATACTGTTGGTGTTAAATTGGCCTTATGAAACAGAGCTATAGTGAGTAAAAAAAATCTTAAGAGGATTTCTGTACTTAAAAAAAGACATTTGTGTTTTAATGGCACGACAGTCATGGAAAGCATGACTAATACATGCGTGTTGTATAGAATTTAAGAGATGCTTAACAAAGTTCTGTCTGAGCTTGCTGCTGCAGATGCTGATGGGAATGTAAATTGGGATTTGTGGGTTTCTTTTTTTCCCTCCTCTTTGATTGTCAGGGTGTTTGGTGGTGGATATAAAAATGGTTGTTTCAGGTAAAAATGGAGTAGTGTGTTTTGTGATGACGTTGTCCCTCTTTCTCCATCTTCCCAGCCCAACGCCCAGGGCTGCTCAGGACCCAATGCCTTCCCTTAGCCACTACACGGAGCCCACTACCCACATTTTCCTTTGTCTCCATAGTTCTCTGTCAGCAATGAATTTGAAGAGTGAGAGTAGTCCTGGAACCTAAGCTGGTGCTTTCAGGGTCTTTCCAGAGGTGGCATAAGCTGTAGTGATCCGATTGGCATGGGCAGGGAAAGAATGTTTTTACCAGATTTTCTTTCTGTATCTCTTCTCCAGTCATATTCTTATCATTTCTATATCTTATTTATTTTTTTCTTTGTTTCATCTTGGTTCACTTTTTACTCCTTTTCACCTTAGCAGTGATGTAGATGACAGCTCTAGATTTTGGTAGGAGTAATTATACCTGCTATACTGAATAGAAAACTGAATTGCAGAATGAAAAATAGCCAATGAATAAAATAATGAATATTTTCAGTTGTGTTTTAGTGTGTCTTGGTTTATTTGGTTGATGGGATGTTTTAGGTTTTTATAGTTTTCGTACCCTGTAGATGTATGTTAATTAATATGCAGAAACATTTAATTTAGAGACCTGACTCATTGGTGTTACAGTAGGAATGGGAAAATTTACACAGTGAGAGAATTTACACAGTGGGTTTGGAACAGTGTATGTTTCATTATCAGAATAGGCAAGCATGGCAAGTGAAGCTGAGACTTTTGTTGGTTTTCTACTTGTTGAATGTTGCTGGACATTGTCAGGCAGAGTAGGTTTTAGAATTAGGGTTTTTCATGATTATAGGCCTTTAGAGAAAAGTATTTGAGAAATGATCTTAGAAGTAATGAATGTTCAAAGAGTATTTTTCTATTTGTAATCGATACTTTTTAATTTATCATTGACGACCTAACTACGGTGAAAAGAGTTGAGCCTATAAATCTCTGTGCTTTTATGTCAGTGCCTTACAAACTGATGCTCTAATTGTTTTGGAACATAAACATGAAATACCAAGTGTTTACCTGGCTGGTGGAGTAAGGTGCTTTGTAAAGCGAGATACTTTTCAGCCTCAATAAAGCACAGAAAAATAAAGACGTGATCTATGGTGTAGTTCCCAGTGTGTGATGAAGTCTCGGTTAATGGTGGACGTGGCTGTTTCTGTTCAGGGATTAATTAGCTCGATCTGTGAGGCAGAGCAAGAAGAGCTGGAACTCTGAAAGAACTGATCAAGAACTGAGTTCTGTACCTGGGTCCTGTGAAAACTCCCTGGACTAGATTCTGCAGGGCTGTAATTTGACCTTGCCGCAAGAAAGCGCTAGGTTCAGTGTCAATAGCAGTCACCTTGAGCCTTTGCACTGGGCTTACTCATTCCCTGTCCCTTGGACTTACTATTATGTCATATTATAGTTTATATTATATAATTGTATAGAGAAATAAGCAGCCTATATTAATGATATATTGGTTCAGTCAGTTGACTGCTTTTGCCAAAGTGTTGACTGTCTGATGGCAGGAACTGCTGGAACATAGCCATCGGGCCTGCTCCCTCACTAGCGCCCTTCTCTGGAAAGCTGAACTGGAAAACTTCTGCAGAATGTTAAGTCTCTGCCTTCCTTGATCATTCCAACACTAGGTTACACAATCTCACTGTTGCTTACTAAAGCTCATGGTGATATATTTACTGGTGTTAATCCCATGAGGCATTATTGCCGTGTAAACAGTCACAAGGTAGGAAACAGCTCACCAAGCATTAGGTCGGAGGCTTTTGAAGACATTTCATGGACTAACCTGATAGTTACCACAGCAAAGAAGCTGGATTTGCTGTTGTGTCAATTTTACAGGTGAAGATGCTAGGATGTGGCAAGGCAGTGGCCTTCCCCAGACCCCAGTCACCCTTCTACTAGGTGACTAGTAGAAGAAGTTCAGTTGAACATCACATGTGATTCTAGACCCTACAAGCCTGCTGTGTTTCTAGAACGTAAAATAAATGTGATGGCATTAAAGTCTCAGAGCGGTGTGAGGGATGGCTCTCAGGACGGGTAACTCATTTGATTTCCAAAGGGCTGTAATGATAGAGGGTTGGCCTCCTGTTGGTCGTTGTGCATTAGCGGGTGGTGTGGAGGTTAGGGCACATGCTGCTTGACAAAGGCTCAGGCAGTGTGTCACCCAGGATATCAAAGACATGGTGGGGAGCAGACAGGCATCTCGCAATGTATTTATTCTATATGGTGTTTGGAAATGCAGATCCATGGCCCAAAGTAACCAAAAGCCACTACAAGTTTTCAAGTAGAGAAGTTACAGGGTCAAGTCCAGGTTTGAAAAGGGTTGGAGAGATGGCTCAGAGGTTAAGAGCACTAGCTGCTCTTCCAGAGGTCCTGAGTTCAATTCCCAGCAACCACATGGTGGCTCACAACCATCTATAATAATAAGATCTGGTGCCCCCTTCTGGCCTGCAGATGTACATGCAAAATAGAGCACTCATATGTAAAATAAATAAATCTTAAAAAAAAAAATAAGAAAGAAAAGGGTTGTGCATCAAGAAAGTAGAAATAAGGGAAAAGTGAGTTCAACTCAGTCAGGAGGGAGGGGCCTGGGCATCATCAGCCTCATGTCTACAGAAATTACAGGTAGAAACAAAGCATCGTGAGGGCACAGAGTGAGTGCTTGTGGGTGAAGGGTGGGCTTCAGTGGAGATGGATAGGGTAGGAAGGATGAAGGCAGCTCCAGAAGAAACTAGCCGTGTGCTTGGGAGAGTGTTTGCAGCTTACTTACTGAAGCACTTGGGAGTGGCAGCGTTGAATGTACAGAAGCACATACTTAAGTTGTGAAGATTGTATTGGGGGTGTTAGGTTGTTTAAAAGATTTATTTTGTTTTTAATTTTGTGTGTGTGTACCTACCCTTTATCCTTCTGGTTTCACGCACTATTACTAGGTACAAGAAGACAAAGAATAGAGGGGGGGGGGAGAGAGAAATAGAGATCCTTGAATCAAACTTCTTGTTTCTTCTTTGAGCACAACTACTAACAAACCACAACCAACTCCCCTGAACAACCAATAACTACCAACCCCACCTACCAGGGCTTTGGCATTTACATACCCTCTGAAAATTTTTCAAAATTCCCAATTGCAGAAACTATCTTCAGCTGGCAAAACCACGCCTCTGCTAGAGGATGAGACAAGAGATAGCCGGCTGCTGTGGATCGTCGGAAGCAGCCACATATTCCCACAGCTGGGATTAAAATGAAAACATATTCTTATAAAATTCTTATAACATTTCAGTTTTTTTGAAGAAATCCAAATTCCAGAATTCACAAAAATGTCACTACATGTGTGTGCGTGTGTGGACCAGTTGGGGAATGTACAGATGTGTGCAGGTGCCCAGGGAGGTCACAGGGAACAGCAGATCTGCTGGAGCTGGAGTTACAGACATTTGTGAGCTCTGTCACATCAGCGCTGGGAACCAAGGTCAGCAAGCGCTCTTAAGTGCTGAGCCGTCTCTGCAGACCATTACAACTATTTAATGAGCATTTACTATTCAACTTTGAACAACTTCCCACTGCTTCAATATAATTCAAATATATATATTTTTTAAAGTCTAGGTAGTTGTTAAATTCTAAATTGTAGCATAAGGTCAAATTGATGCCTTTAAACTTCTCTAGTAAGGTATAATTTGTATTCCGAAAAGTGCTAAAATGTTGAGTTTTGACATGTGTACACATGTTTATAACTACTCAGACCATAGTCTAGAAAACATTTTGGACCCCAAAATCTCTATTTCTTGTCAGCAATCTCCATAATTGCTGTTCTGGCCTACAACATCTAGCCTGGTTTACTCTGCTTTTAAATTTAATGCAACTAGACACAAATATGCATACACATACACACATTTTTGCAATTGGTTTCTGTTGTTCAACATAACATCTGTGAGCTTCAATTACATTGTTTATAAAGTTCAGAAATTTAATCTGAACCATTACTGTTTTCTATGAATAGACAGTAATGTTTTAATCATTTTGATAAATATAATAATTATTTCTAAAAATGTTTTGGCTGCTATGTAGGAAGCTGATCTATTCTTGTACATTCTTTTGTTGGTTGTTATACAGTCAACTTATAAAGGTATACATATACTTTTTAATGAGTACTAACAGTTCTTGCTTATATAATGGCTTGGGTTTTGCTTTCGCTATGTATAGAGATAGATAGATAGATAGATAGATAGATAGATAGATAGATAGATAGA